CAGAATATTCTGCCGAAGTTTCCGGAATACAGTTCGGACCACCCTGTATTCCGGAAACATGTGGTTCGATAGAGGTTTGATTTATAGAGTGAACCCATCTAACACTGTGCTGATAAAAATCAAAGTAGAAATAAAAGAATAGTTTGAACCCAAATGTAGTTTAAAAATAAAATAAGTTGCTGCCAACTTCCGGTATTGCCAGATGTGCCTCCATATTGACAATATTTTTAATCGATAGATTAAGCTGTGAAACAATGGTGCGCAAAAAATCACAGATCTAGATATTGCAATTCTCTAGAAAATTTTAATGCACTGTTAGCCTGGGACACCCTGTATACAGTGTATACTGTATACATGTACATTTGATCAAGTGAAATAAAATTTATTATACCATAATAAAGTGTACTTATTCAATATTTAAAGTATATAACTTCATAGAACATATTTTTAAGAAACTCTGCAAAATTTGTTCCCTTATCTTTTTTAATAATTCAAAATACAAGTTTATTAACATGAATTGTTGTAAATAACTCGATTAGGAAAAAAAAATGTTTGCTGTGAAAGTTGTAGGAAATGAATAATTAACTAGGGATTAGGCATAAAATTATACAGGATCTGGCTCTGCATTGCGGAGCTCTACAAAACCGGTTTAATACAGGTAATTGGGACTAATTTTAGTTTAACCGGGAATTTGTAGCCAAATCCGTGGGATCAGTTTAAATAATGAAAATGCAAAGAGTTATTTTATTTTGTTATTTTGTAATTAAACGGGATTACGTTGATTTAAATCTCTTTATACTTTTGTTAGAGTTAAACCATTTTGGTAGATTTTGTCACTCACACACGTAACCTTATTTTTAAACATAACTAGCTAAACGGCCAATACTGAATTAATAATAATACTTAAAGAAGGCGTTCATTGTTCTCAAATAGACCTGGTTTAAATTAAAAAGAAGACGAAAAAAGACTCAGACGCTAGTGTTATTTTAATATTGTTACGTTTTCCGTCGGTTCCGTGTGGATAGAAAGTCACATTTTATTTAAACACAATTTATTTACACTAAGTAACAAACAATAACGATTAAAAGACTTAAAGAACTATTCATAACTTATGTACAATTTATCTAACTATTTATTTAACAGGAATTTATTTTGAATTTAGCGCGGCGATTGTAACTGTACGCGTCGACCGGTTGTTTTTCTCTGTCCTCTTCAGGTTTCAGGCGTCGCGTCGGCTTATATATGTAACCAACAATAACGATTAAAAGACTTAAAGAACTATTTATAACTTATTTACAATTTATCTAACGCAGTCTCCCGCTAACACTTAGACTACGGGTAGTGAAATGCTACATATGGCCCATCTTACTATACGGCGCAGAAACCTGGTCACTCAAGGCTAGAACCCTGAACCGCATCGAGGCTTTCGAAATGTGGACTCTCCGGAGACTCTTACGTCTGCCATGGACTGCACATGCAACCAACGAAGAAGTTTTAAGAACTGCAGGCTATGAACGAGAAATGCTTAATATACTTAAAGAAAGGAAAGTCTCATACCTCGGCCATATCCTTAGAGGAGACAAATATTACATTCCTAAGCTGATTCTACAAGGAAAAACAGAGGGACGGCGAGGCCCAGGAAGAAAACAACATTCCTGGCTAAGAAACATACGGGATTGGTGTAACATCAGCGACGCAGCCACCATATTTCGAAGAGCCGAAAACGGCACTCTACACATTGTATGAAGAGTACAGACAATCGCCAACTTGCGGCTAAGCACAAGGCACAGGAAGAAGAAAAAGAGAAGAAGATTTATCTAACAGGAATTTATTTTGAATTTAGCGCGGCGATTGTAACTGTACGCGTCGATCGGTTGTTTTTCTAATCAGTTCAGATTACGATTTCAGTTGTAATTACTAATACTAATAATTACTATTACTAATAATAATAGAATGTTAATTTATCTTTTCAAAAGTCTTTAATTGTGCAGATAAATAATAATATAGAATATTAAATTGTGATAAAAAATAATTATGCAAATAGGTCAACTCGAAATCAAAGCTCGCTTCGATATAAAGATAAAAACCCTCATATTTATCTCATTCTTAGAAATAAATACCCATAACTTTATATTGTTGAGAAGGGTTTTTTAAGTTCATAGCCAACTACGATTTCCATTTAAAAAATTATATTTTTTATTATTTCTGACAAAAAGAGCAAGCATAGAAAAAAACTGACTACGCCACTGGATTGTGCTTAAAAAATTGCCTTAAGAACGTTTTTACAGAATTTTATTATTCCACGAAATACAAAAGTTATGGGTACTTTCAAAATGGTAAAAAATTCAAAAAGACCCCGTATCTCAGTTGGCAGTGAAAATATCAACAGGCGGTTTACGCCATTAAACTTGTCTCAGAAATCGAGCCCATGACATCTATGTCGGTTTTGCTCTATCTAGTCAGTAAATAGGTTTTCTCTGTTAAAACAGACCAATTTCGACCACCCTGTACAAATCGTTAATTTTTTGTGGCGCCTCGGGTCGCCTCGCCGAGTGTATACTTGCACCATTAACGTATTTGTCTAATGTAACGTCTGATGATGCTCGTATGAGCGAAACACGTGTCACTGTTTAACTTAATATAAACGTTGAGAGCGAGACTTTGAGTCTTTTTTCGTCTTCTTGTGAATTGATACTTGATATAGATTGCCCGAATGATCTGGAATAATTGAAACCAATCGTGCCAGCTTTTTTTGGTTCTTTATTACACTGTGTCAAAGGTGGAATATTTGTACACTAAAGAGCTTTTAGTGTTGGCCCAATAGAATGAATACTAAACTAATATCATGCTCCCGTTTAAAATGTTCATGTAAGTTATCTTTAAACCATTTAAACGCCTACTGTAGTGGAGTGCCCAGAGACTTTTACCTCGGAATTCAATTACTGTGAATGTATTAAAGTGAAACCTTCTGTTATATAGTGTTTTATAGATAAAATACTAAAATGTTTACCCATTTTTTTTCGTTGTTTTTAATTTTTTATTTTAATAATTTTAGTAAATTCTTAATTATTTCCTTCTTAATTTTTTGATTTTTTAAATTCTTTTTCTAAGTAAGTTTATTGAAATAAATAAATCTAATGCATAAGCTATACCTATTCTGCTTATATTTTAATAATTGAAATTTTGATTGAAATCGAATTATACAGGGTGGCGCGTCATATACGACGCGGTTTTTGCAAGGAGAACAAAAGTTTGTATTGAAGTGAAATTTTGTAAGCTTATATAAGTCAATTTAAAGCATTTTCTAAAATTATGTAGAGTTCTACCTGGTGTCCCCAAAAAAAAGTTACACATAAAAGTTATGATTTTTGTAACGGTACACCCTATATATTAATTGATCTTTGGATTCTAGTAAAAAAATAAAGGTTTGTTTCATTAGAAAAGTATATGACTAAAATGTATAGTTTTTGAAATACATTCACCGGCACAAAAAATGGGCACCTTAAAACTTTGATGTATTTTAAAGGTTAATATATTTTAATTTAATGGGCCGATTTTGATGATTTTTTAAGCAATGTGTTGCCACATTATTTGACTCTTTAGTATCTTTTTCTAAATTAATTAATTAATTAATTAATTAATTAAAAATGACTCCCCATCTGTTAATTATACGAGGGAAAACAAAATGTTGATATTTTGGTGAAAGTTTGAAACACCTTGTGAAATATGTTAAAAAAGCAAGAAATTTAAAAATTATTTTATCATCTAAATACATCCTTTCTCGATAGTTTGTTTTTTAGTTCAACTTATTAGCATTATTTTTGTTGGAAATATTCGGTTTTAAAAAGGCATTAACATTTTTTCGTAATTTTTACATTAAGACAATGCGTTTGCTTTTGGGCCTAGGCAACACATCTAGTAAGTTCTGGTCCCGAAGCAGGCCTTCTTGACATAAGATTTTATTCATTTAATCTTCTTGTAGTCCGTTAGTTAATATGTACGCTCCTTAGGTGCAATTCATTATTAATTTGAAAAGCTGGCAAACGGCGGTTTCTTACCGATAAACTTACAATAAGTCGATCGTCTCGATTAGAAATTCTCATACGAAGGTTCCTGGACGTCTAAATTGAGATCCTCATGGACGTGGTCATAATTCAAAGCCCATTTAATATACTCTATGGTATTTTAGGAACCGGAATTTTATAACAAATTCACTGCACTCGAATAAATAAATGATATATATATATATATATATATATATATATATATATATATATATATATATATATATATATATATATATATATATATATATATATATATATATATATATATATATATATATATATATATATATATATATATATATATATATATATATATATATATATATATATATATATATATATATATATATATATATATTTGACTCACCTTGTATATCTATAAAAATATTTTTGATATGTGAACTACCATTAAACATATATTTTGTAAAAGGTTTGGAGTAAAAATCTCAAATAGGAATCCTGATACAGAGCTTTTCCGGAATACTGAGCCATCTTGTATGTATATGCATTTGTATATGTGTGTTTATTTAAATCCTAAAGTGAAAGCAACGAATTTAAATGTGTGGGTAAACTTTGTACTATATCTTATTAACAATACAATGCAAAATGTTTTATAAAAATTCGTTCACAGTAAATGAATTCCAAGGTTTGTATCCCATAATGGTTTAAAGCACTCCACTATGACAAAATCACATAAAGGACATTTTTTTATATAAAAATAAAAAACAATATAATCAACTTCCAAAGACTCATATGTTTTTAAACACCTTTTATAAATGAACATAATGTTCTAGATCTTAGTTCTATGAAATTATAGATTTTCGACGCACTCTTGAAGAACCCTGTATTAAATTGATATTTTAATAATTGAAGACACAAGTGGATAAAAGTGTCATGTCGCAAAATCATTTTACTGAGAAAATTGAGTTTAAAGTTTGTGAATCGGAACTTTTTATTTAAAAAAAAATTCAAATATTCATTATGCGCATATCGTCGATCATTATGATACAATTTTTTAGGATTATGTAGAAAGTTTGTAGAGTTTTAATTTAGATGGAAAAATTTGATTTGAATGTACATGACACCTTTATTCACCGAGAACTGTAAAGCAAAATATATGTCTTTAAAGAAAAGAAAGCGTCAGGTCACAAAATATTTTTATTTTTGGCACTTAACATACAATATTGTCATTTATAAGTTCCTATGTTTAATAGTCTTAAGTAGTTCTTCTCTTTTTCTTTGGATTTTCTTCATTGTCTTGCAAAATACGTTCATAAAACCACTTGTATTCGTCCTTGATAAATACGAGTTGCTCTCGCAAGTTTGACATTTTTTCAGATGTGAGTCGACCCCTTTTCTCCATGATTCTTTCAACTTTAATCTGTCCTTTACTCACCATTCGGCCTCCCTTTTTTACTAGTTGTACTTTGTGAAAAGGCGACATTTCGTCGAGATTCTCCTTATACAAATAACTGCCAGGCTCTAAGACACTTGATATTATCCCTGAAGTTCACTTTTTCATTTAATTCGTTTTTTTTCTTGTTGAATAGATGCAACATCTCAGGTAGTTTATCAAACTCTAAATAGTAGTTTTCCATGTTCACACATACAGAATTTCTAGCACTTGCAGCCTTGATAATGTCACGGTATTGTTCTGGGACATAGATATTCTCATGTTTCCTCAGCTTCTTTTCTATCCTCCCAAAATTTCGGTCGGAATCCAAGTAGCTGTGTCCTACTTCCGGAAACTTATGATCAATTCTTTTAAATGTTCCATTTAAAATTAAAATCTGATAAAGACAGATCAGTGTAAAATTTTTATTTTGGCCGGCACATGAGTCCGACCAAATAATCAGGTGATCGATTTCATATTCCTCTTTAAGCAGTGTGCAGAATCTATACAAACAACTTGCTACTTCCAGACTTCCCCTATTTGCCACGTCTTCAGTCCAATTAAAGAAAAAAGGTTTCTGTCCATCAGGAGTAACACAATGAATCCCAAAGTTATAGAACCACATCTGGCGTAAATAGAAAGCTTTGCTGGTTGACAGCTTTGGTAGAGGTATAGTCTGCTGTAGGTCCATGGTAAGCAGGTGTTTTTTTTTGATGTGCTGGTTTTTCTCTGTCTCGCCTTTGAGCATCAAAGGCAGCATGATAATTTTCGATGTGATCTTCAGAGCTCTGGCGAGGATCACAGACGCTGCATGTATCGCTGCGTGGGAACCCAATTGATAAATTGAACTTATTTGAAAATATATAGGCATAAGACGAAAGTTTTACTTTAAACGACTCTCCAAGATTGTTTTCTTCACAGTTCTTTGAGATACATTTTGTACATTTCTGTTATATTAAGAAGTGGCGATAAATATTTTTTATGGCAGTTCTTGTTGCGTGAATAGTGTGACTCTTCTGCTGGAATTTTTTTTATGTGATTAATGATATGAGTCACAACTTCCTCACTGATCCTATGTGGCCTATTACCATGTCGACCTCTCTTATCAGGTGATGGTGCATTCTGACCTTTTTTTAACATCCTTTGTATTATTTCAATTTTTTTTCTGCTAAACTGGTATAGACAACACATCGCATCTCGACATATGAATTCAGTCTTTTTATTGAAAGCAACTGAATACTTGAATGTGAAATTTTTGTTGTTTCTTGCGTCAGTCCTAAGTCTTTTAACAGGTTGAATCTTGACACTGTTAAATAGCAGGGAATTTTTGCTTACATAAAAATGTAGATTCGAGGTATCACGAACATCATCTTAACCGTCGAATATGTTAATAACTCTGGAATATGTCTGGGAATATTGTCGCACGAAGTCTCTGTATCCGCTATATATTTTATTACAATCGGTAACCCATAGCTACGATTTTCGGAAATTTGCTTAGAATTGGCTAGAGGTCTTGGATTATATCATACATTACATATACATACATTATCTGATACAAATCAAACTCTTACCTATTTCTTTATTATTTTTTTGTTCCGGTTGCTTATCAAGCAAGGACAATATGCGTTTTCCTCGAGACAGTCCTCTGGAATCCATATTCCTTAATGAATTTCAACAATAAAAGTATTCTCTTAGATCACTTTTTACGAACACACACTGAGAAAATATCATTCCAAATTTGACATAACCTCAAATTTGGGTGTCATGTGTCAGTTAGACCCTTCTGCCTTCTAGGTGGATTTTAGTTGATAAAGGTGTTATGTTACCTTGACACCTTTATCCATTGAAAAATCACTGAAATACGGTACATAACACCTTTATACGTTGAAAATCTCGCCTATTTATCACAATTCTGAAATAACTCAAGTATCAATAGAAAATATTAGTCCCAAGAGTCAATTTCAAGCCAAAAAAGCCATTTTTGAAAAAATGTTACATAACACCTTTATCCACTTGTGTCTTCAATTATTAAATTAAAATCAAAATAGCATAATTTATTTATAAAACACAATGCAAAGCTTTTATAAACCTTTTAAAACATTCGTTGGCGCAGAAAACTAAAATTCTCTGAATATTTGTGAAGTCGGCCGTTTGCACTATTTATTTGCTTTTTGATGTTTGGATATTTAATTGGCTGGACACATTCAAAATATCAAAAGGTTTAATTATGATATTTCGAATAATTAAATATCTATTGATGAACATGTATGTATGTCCAACAAAATGGATAGGAATGAAAAACGTAACTGTTTTTTGGTAATTTTAAAATTTGTAATATTTACTTAAGCGCTACCACTTTTAGTTATAGCAGTTTTAGTTATAAAAAATGTCTACGTATTAGTGATGGGAATACCGACTCCACATGAGTCGCGTTACAATAGCGATCGTTCCAGAAAAATACCGCGATTTAATAACCGAGGTTCCGACTTCCAAAGTGTCGCGGTCCTCGTTTATGCAGTATTTCTGGAATTAGTACCTACCTACTCCCAACCAGTGTTGTCGGGATCTTACAATTCTACCAGCTGTTACAACCATTCGTGCCATAAACTTTGGTATAACTGATATTGGAAAATGGAGAATTACCCGATATAAAACCGTACAGCAGATACTAGCATTTGTCAAAGCCCTGGGACTGTATGATGAGTTATAACTCAAGAAAGGGTGACACGATAGATCGGTAAAGTCGCAGCGATTAAGCCCCCTCCCACTCATTCTACATTCTACCAGCTCAAAATACATTTTGCTGAGATTTACTGACTTTCCCACCACCTTTTTTTTACAAACTGCACATTTTAAAAATAGAACTTTTGTAATGATATAAATTGTATTTTTAAATTTATTATAGAGAATGATAGAAGTTCTGGCAACACTGCTCCCAACCCTGCCCTTATCTCTGTGCCCGTGTAAATTCATAAACAATTTCATAGACAAATTTGTAAACGATACAGATGGCTATAATTTATGATAGTGGCGATGCGTTAGGTTTCAATTTTGGAAATTAAACTATTAAATAAAATAAAAAAATATGATCTACTCCTATTCCCCCAAAACTGACGCTTTTGCGTTTCATCTTTCAAACAACGCTATTTTATACCATCCCTAGTACATACCAAAATCGCTATTTCGAAAGTAACGTAGCGACGGGAGAACGAACACCAATAGAAACCGACCAAATCGCGACAGGCAAAACCGGAACCCTAGAAGCGCTCCAGCGACTGCTGGAACGAAGTACGTCGCCGCCGAGATCGATCGTCGATAGCCAGTTACAGCAGGGACCAGTTACTTCTGTTCGCGACAGACGGAACTACGGCTGGAGCGAACACGCGCGACGCTACGTACATACCAGTGCCAGTTACTACTGTTGGCGACCGACGAAATCGTGACGGCTGGAGCTAAACACGTCGCTAGCGGGTTACTATGGTTCGAGCTGCCTTCAAGAACGATTATAAATAATTTATTTGCAAATTATAAATAATTTATTTGCAAATTATAAATAATTTATTTGCAAATTATAAATAATTTATAATTTTGTCGTCATTATGATCGTCGTTGTTCAGTAACAGGTTCCTGATTCGTTGTGGAGCGCGATACGACGTTACAAGAAAATACCGCTCCAAAATCGCGTTACTGAAATACCGACACATCATGCACTACTACGTATACTTCTGTGGCGGATTCATCTCTCCAAAAAAGTCCTGTGGATTACGTTAGGTATGTGGGTTGGATAGGTAGTTCCCTGTGGGTTGGGTAGGTAGTTCGCCATTGTAAGAAAACCTACAAAATAAAATAGTTTTTTTTGTAGTTTTTTTGTAAACATAAAGAAATTTGCCTAACGGACAAAGAAATGCTTAATTGCAACTATTCGAGAACACTTTAGTTTTTTCAAACAGATACGTCTATAGAACCGTTGACAATCTATAAAACCGTCGACAATTAGTGTCCGTTGGATTACCGCAGCAGTGTTTTTCAAAAAATAGCTATTTTATTTTGTAGATTTCTTACAGTGGCGAGATACCCATAGGACTTTTTTGGAGTTTTAGTTATACAGCAACGAAAACTGATTAATTAAATTTATTTTAAATCCACTGTCAAGAACCAAAAACGGACACCCTAAAATTTTCATGGATTTTAAAATTCAATATATTTTGTTCTAGTGTGTTCTAGTTTTAAAGCAATGTGCAGCTAAATTATATGCCTTTCTAATTTATCTTCAAATTAAAGTCCTCATCTCTTTATAATACGTATAGGTACCTATGTAATAAGTTTGAAATCCCCTGCGGAATTTTTTAACAGTTAGAAATTTAAAAACCACTTTATCATCAAGGTTGTAGTTGTTCTCGATAGTTTGTATTTCGATTCATCACTTTTGAAGAAAACATTAACGATTTACAGCAATTTTAGCATTAGAAGCATGCCTTGTCCTTTGATCCTCATCGACACACCTATGAAATAGTAGTTGTTGTTTTTGTAATGTCAGTGTCATTGAAAATATAATATATATTTTCAATGACACACATTTTTATTTAGCAAGCAATATATTGTTTGCTAACAGTTACTCATAGCAGGGATGGTTCTAGAAGCAAGATAGTCTAGAAGTTGATCTCTACCATGTTCCATTAAAGCAACAATAGCCGATTTGTGGACTTACAAACCACCTTTGCTACAGTAACTGTCAACAACAGGGTCTACTAACAGGACATTGTTAGCTCCATCTAAAGCTAATGGGATTGATAGACTAAGCCATGCGCAGTTTCTGTTAAACTAAAGAAGAAACTGCAGAGCACATTTTATATCGGCGGTCGCACCGACATAAAATGTGGCAAATGTGCGATTCTCGGTAGTAGGCAATAATAGTGCATTGCTATATGGGGGGTTTAGTCTCCAACTTGCTATTCTTATTGAAAAGGATAGGACTGGAGAGCAGCAACTGTAACCTAAGGATCAGAAGAGGACCACAATAGATCTGAAAAGGTCACAGTGGATCAGGCCAACAGCCACTCGAAGAATCTAATCTAACATCTAACTGTCAACAAACACAATAATACTATAACTTTTTAGTGACAGTAACATTACAAAAAGAGTTAACATTATTTTATAGGTATGGATTAGAACCAAAAGCAAGAGCATGCTTTTAATTCTAAAATTGATATTAATCGTTACTATCTTTTTCAAAATCGGAAGAAGCTTTTAGCATGAATCAAAAAACAAAATATCGAGAAAATATGCACCTTGATGATCAAGTAGTTTTTGAACTAATTACTTTGTTAAATCATTCGTCAACATTTTGTTTCTACTCATATAATTAACACATGAACATTTTCATTTCTAATTTTTCAAATAATTTAGCTATAAAAATCAACAAAATCCACCCACTACATCAAAATATATTAAACTTTAAATTGTACGAAAATGTTAACGCCCCGTATTTTGAAAACTAGCATTGGGGGCTAGGACAAATCTGTATATAGCATCTTTAATTTCATAAAAAGTAGCACAGCAATGTAAAAACCGCATCTTTGTAGCTGTACTCATAAACGAGAAACCCTGCATGACACACGAAAATGAAAAAAACACCCTGTACACGAGTCGTCTGAGGCCGGCTTTAGACAGGCTTTAAATACATGCACGTGTGGATGGCCCATTTCAGATTTCATTATCATATATTAATAACAGCGCAAAAGAACTAACTCCTCTAAAACAATAATAAGTCTAAAATTAGATATATTATTTTAGACTTTACTTTTTAATTTAGACTCACCTTGCAGGACGATTTTGCGTTTGCTCTCCGTCTCGGACTCGAGAGCGTCGAAGAAGGCGGCCCCTGTGAGCAGGTAGGTGAAGGTGCACACGATCAGAGATAAAGTGCGAACGTTTTGCTTCTTCATTCTCTAGCGCGCCTCATGCTGGGGCCGGGGGTCCCGCGCCGCTAGCTGCCCCCCGCGGGTCCCCCACAGGGCCTCAGCCACATGTCGCTTCCTGAAACAATACACGAGCATTTTATTTACTATCTTAAAAACGAGAGTAAGTATATTTTATGCGAGGATGCTTTTATATAAAAAATATAAGAAAGGAAACATTGGTACTATAGGCTGCTCAACGACAATATCCTTGACAGTGATAGTCTGTCATTTTAATTTCAAGCTAGTTTATTTTATTTTACAAAGAAATAAGTTGGCACAATTGGAATGCAAAGCAGGAAATTAACATTTTAATGACAAATTATTACTCCAAAATATTATGAAAAAAAAACTGTATAAAACTAATAAAACCTATACTCTGCTTTTTTTACTCAGGTAAGATTTCGACAAACGATGACAGAAGAAAAGCAGATGACGTCCCATACCAATCTAATAATTTTACTAAAAAAAGTTTCTAATATTTTTTAAGTTAACTATGGATGGGATTGACTATAAATCCGTCATACGTCGTCTCTTGTTATTTTTAACCAGTTTTATTGGTTTATTTCAAAAATGACAGTTGACAAATGACAATTCATATTTCAATTTTATTGGTTTCACGGAACGATGAACTACAAACGGACGCCCATGCGTATGAATTCGCCTTTTAGATTTTTGAGGCTTGTCAAAGTCTTGCCAAATTATAGGTTATAATTTTGTGTCAACTTATGTCAAATATCTGCGTTTTGGAAGATAATGCATTTTGATTCGTATTATTAGGTTTGTTTTGTGTCTTTTGAAGTCAAGTGGAGGAAAAATCGAGGGAAAATTAGCTGTAGACCCAGAGCAGTTTATAGTTAATACTCGCTGCACAGGCAGAAAGTCTTATACACCAATAAAGTTACCATCAATAAAGTTTGTATACCATCTCGTCGTAGATAAGTGCATCTCGTATATGCTACTAGGATCGTACTAAAATATACTACTGGAGTAGCTGTAAAATATCGACATCACACGATAGGTAAATAATGGATTTTAGTACTTCCTGCATTTATTATTATATTTACTATTACCAGTAAATATAATAATAAATGTAGGAAGTTTCTTGAAGTTTGAAAGTAAGAAATAGTTATTTTTTATAGGTATTTTGTATGTAGTGTTTTGTTTAACACACACCTTCGATTGTTTTGTAATATCACATAACCTATAGTATTCTTTTTGAAATCAAATAACTATATAGTCTGTCCAACAACGAAATATTTGACAGTGATAGATGTGTCTGTCATTTTAATTTCAAAGTAGTTTATTTTATTTTACAAAGAAATAAGCTGGTACAACTGGTAATCCTCTAGGAAATCTTGTCTTTGGTGAGAAAGCTCCTCGTTAGATGCTAGGGGGAATCTCCCCTGGAACTTTAGCTAGGTGTAAGGAGCATCTCACTGTTTTGTCCCTGGCTATAGTGTCGTGGCCAAGGGATTGCACAAAGACGTATAACGATACCCGGCACCCTCTACTGTCTGTGGTACTGGCAGAGGGTGTGGGGGGATCTTAGTTTAACAGATCCCCCAAGGATCAAGAGAAGACCGCCTTACAAAAACCTAAATCGATGGGGGGACCACGTCAAAGGGATGCGTGGCTAGAAAAAAGACTAGCCTCTACTGGTTTTAACCTTAGGGCACCTTATGCGCATCTCAGTGTATTCTCGCATCCCTTACTTCTGCATGTGGGGTTCTGTAGAAGTAAAGCGACAAACCCTTGTGGTGAACCGAACCAAACCCTTGTGGTGAAGCTGGAGGGAAAACCCCTAACAACACTGAAAACATTAACAGTGCAAGTTCCAAGGAACCAATCCCAAAGGGAACTACAGGAGAGGCAGCTGACACTTGTGCGAGACCAGCTCCTCAAGTGGCACACAAGGTACTACCTCCTCTAGTAAGAGTCGGGAATCTACCTCTAGATCCACCAGGCGACACAAGCTTCCTCATGATCATTGCACCTGTCTAAATTTGCAGAAATATTGTGCCCCATAGAATGGTTAGTCCTATATACATTAATAAATTCGTTTCTGTGATGAAAGAATTCTGTTATGGAACGTATCTTTACTACGTTACTTTGAATGTGGTAGACAGTAATTCAGTATTAAAACTAAAATAATTTCGGACTTCCATTGTCTTTATTTATTTTGCTTACACTAGTAATCTACCTCTAGATCCACCAGGCGACACAAGCTTCCTCATGATCATTGCACCTGTCTAAATTTGCAGAAATATTGTGCCCCATAGAATGGTTAGTCCTATATACATTAATAAATTCGTTTCTGTGATGAAAGAATTCTGTTATGGAACGTATCTTTACTACGTTACTTTGAATGTGGTAGACAGTAATTCAGTATTAAAACTAAAAGAATTTCGGACTTCCATTGTCTTTATTTATTTTGCTTACACTACACTTGCTTACACTTACTTATAAAATAAATAAAGGCAATGGAAGACCGAAATTCTTTTAGTTTTAGTATTTTTACTACAACTCATTAGCTCATAATTGTAATTGTATTAAGATTTTGAACCCCGACCACCCGGCTGTTAAAATTAAAAGCTAGTGGCCTCTATGCAACTCATCCCGATTAAGTAAACTTGTGTTTTGTTGAACTTCAAATTAGAAAAGAACGCGGCATAATTTTTGAATATGTGACAAGGTTGAGATACCGCTGAGTGCTTACTTCGATTTAATCTATCTGAAGTGTTTTCGTAAAACAGTGTATCAGGTAAAAGTGTAGTAGGTAATGTTGCAACTACCAGAGCCGGTAAGTTTGCTGAATGTACTCAGTACAAATGCATCTTGGTTTGGTCATTATTCTGATTCATTTTTAAACATCTAATTTTCGAGAGAGTGACAGCAAAGATAGCAACACATTGTTTTTCTTTCGATATCCCACCACATTTTAGTTCATTATTATCTGTTCCATGTTAATATTTTAGTAAGACAATTTTCTTTGTATAGACCTTTTTTATACTTGTCTTGTTTGGGTAAGGCGATATATATTTTTTTTTCCTTTTGTATTGGCAAAATATCGCCCGATAAAAAAGTAATTTCGGAAAGTCGGTCTCGCAGGCAACGCTTTTAAGGATCGTTCGACAGGTTCAAAAGATCAGGTTTCAATATTTTTAACGTGCTATTCAATAATGAAAAAGAAAATAATATGTTATCAAGGCTTTTCATCGAAAATATTATTTTTTAGTCAGTCCTAAAATGTGTTTATAAAAAAGAATTGCTCGGTTAGGTTTAAAACCCTTCTTTGTTCTTTTGATTAGAATCCGTGTTTAGGAAATAGTATTTAAGAAAAAATAAAGATTCAGGAAAAACAACGTATTCCACAAATAAATACTTATGATGGATAAGTATTTTAGATATTATAAGAAAAAAGAATATATAAACAGTCTTTAAGGTAATGTTCTAAGGTCTGTCCTATCATATATATTGTTATTTCTCAAAAATTAGAATACAATCTACGGAAGCGCTGAGGGGCCAGCTGAGTTTTTTTTATATATGACTATAGTCAGATCATAAATGAATATAGTCAGATCATAAATGACTATAGTTAGATAATAAATGACTATAGTCAGATCATAAATGACTATAGTCAGATAATAACTGACTATAGTCAGATAATAACTGACTATAGTCAGATAATAACTGACTATAGTCAGATAATAACTGACTATAGTCAGATGATAACTGACTATAGTCAGATGATAACTGACTATAGTCAGATAATAACTGACTATAGTCAGATAATAAATGACTATAGTCAGATAATAAATGACTATAGTCAGATAATAACTGACTATAGTCAGATAATAAATGACTATAGTCAGATAATAACTGACTATGGTGCGTTTAGACTTGAGCACGCAGGCACTGATCCTCCGCGAATGCTCAAGTGTAAACGGCTGTGCGCGCACGCTCACTCTGAATCTGTCTGTGCGCGAGCAGCCGCAAACTCGAGCCGTCTGGTGTCGGTTTTTGATCCGTGCTCAAAGGGATTTTATATGTGCGCGAACGCTTAATTTGCACCGGAAATGTGTTTTGTCTGCGTGCGTGCAACCAAAAAAAATGATGCATGGCAAGACTTTGCAAATAAAATTAATATTGAACATATGATAAACAAAAAAAATACGAAAAAATAAAAAGCTGTTTTCTCCATGTAATAATATTTACACAGTCTCTTCCCCACAAAGGTCCCCAGCTTTCGGTACATAGGTTGCTATACGAGTCTCCAGATGCCAAGAAACGTAAAGTCAAGGCTAAGCGTTCTCTTGGCGATATTGCTATTTTAAAATTTTTATCTATTTTTTGAATTTTTGGTGTAATTAAATTTAGTAAATATTCAAAGTCGGATCTGGTCATTCTCGTAAAGTTTTTGAACTGATTATAGCCCTCCTCAGACACTAAGTTGTTTAATATGTTATATCGATTTCTAAAAAATTGAGTTTGCCACCATGTGACAATGTTTTCCATTTTTCTTCTTTTTATATAATGAAACTGTATAACAATGAATGCAGCCGCCGCTATCTCTCGGTCGTCCATTGATAATTTGATTTTCACCAACACAGCTCTGCTGTGCGCGCACAAGTGGATCACTTCATTCGTCGAAAAATAAGTTTTTAATTTAAACGGAGTCGAGAGCGTGAACGAATGCCGTGCGCATATGCTCAGCTCGTGCGTGCTCACGTCTAAAGGCACCTTAAGACGCTCCTGGATATGTTAAGCATGCGCAGTATATTTCGCAACAGATGGTTTTCACGTGGATTTCATTAGCTGTTCAAAAAGAAGTGAATAACCTTGCGCTGTTTAGTTTACGATTTCGGGCCTACTTTTCAGAGGCCATCTCGTCGTTACTAGGGATTCATAATACAGGTCGATGCCAGTCTAGACTTGTTATAGACTGAAAAACTCCTTAGATACCCTAAAAAAGTTCTTGCGATTTT